TGAGAGCTATGCATCAAAATCAAATATGTTATGCTCTCTATAACTCAGTCACTCCCTCCTTGGCATTTCCCAATACAAACACAGACATATAGACACCATAAGACAAAAATGTTCAAAGCAGTATTCTTTTTTAAAATGTTTTTACTTATTCTTGAGATTATACAATTCTCAAGTATACAACTGATGTTACTCTTCCCCCTAATTCCTCCCAGATCCTCCCTCCCTTTCTCCCTCCCTCCCCAGCTTCATGTTCTCTAAAAGTTTTAGAACAAAAAATTTTTTTCTCTTTCTTGTTTTTTTTTTTGTAACAGGGCCTCACTTCATAGCCTTTGCCAGCCTAGGGTTTACTATTTAGACCAGGATGACCCAAAATTCATATAGATCTGCTTGCCTCTGTCTCGGGCTCCTGAGTGCTAGGATTAAAGACGTGGGCTGCCATGTTCCACCAGCAGCATTATTCCTAAAAACACCAAAGCAGAAATAACTCAAGAGTGTATAATAACACACCAGAGAGATCATGATACATTGATAAAGAAATACCATATTCCAAAACAAATGAGCTAGTAGTAAATACTAAAACACAGACAAACCCACTAAGGTTAATTTTAAGAAACTGAGGCATGGTGCTGGGTGCTCGGTGAGGTACAGTGCTTACTCAGCATGTACAAGGACCCGAGTTTAACCCCCAGCAATGCAGATTTTAAAAAAAGGGAAACAAAATAAACCCAAGTATACATTATGTAATGTTTACTTATAAAAATTCAATAATTTTATACAAAATAATTTTTATTTATAAAAAAACTGGTAAGAAAATGGCAGTTATCATGGGGGAAAATGATTGAGAAGGCACAAGAAACCTTTCTTTATACTGGTCACATTTCAGTTCTATTAATAGCAATCTATTCACTTTATAATTATCAAGTTTCAGATTTATAAATCTTACACTTTATCACAAAGTTTACTTTAAAAACAATGGGTAAGAAATGGCCAGATAAGGGAGGAAAAGGCAGGAAAACCTAAGACTGTTAGCTCTGCATAGTGCTACTGTGGTGATACATTGTGTACCCTAATCAACTTGCCTGAGGGTCAGAGGACAGAGCCAGCCACTAGATTAGACATAGAGGTCAGGTGTGGTGGCACACACCCTTAATCCCAGGAAGTAATATGGCAGGGCAGAGAAAGGCGTGAGGAAACTGGAACTCTCTTTAGGCTGAGGATTTCATAGAGTTCCTCAGGCAAGTTTATTAAGGTACACAATATATCACCACATGCTACTTCTATGGTTTGTCTGTAGTAAAACTAATGTTAAAACTCACATACACTGGCAGTTAAAAATGGGACAAAGGCGGGGCCTTTCAGAAGTAACTAGATACTAAGGGCTCCATCCTCATGAAAACAATGTGGTTCCTAGGAGTGACTTGGGGGCTAGAGAGCGGGCGGGCTCAGTAGTTAAGAGCACACACTGCTCTTGCAGAGGACTGGAGTTTGGTTCTTAGCTCACAAACGCCTGTAGCTTCAGGTCCGGGACCTCTGATGCCTCTGAAGGCACCTGCACTGGTGTGCACTATCTACAAGTACACCACTCTTCAAAGTCAATCTTTCACAAGAGGGTAACTTAACTCTAGGGATGGATGGTTATGAAGTATGCCTGCCACTCCTCAGTCTCAGTTGTTCTTTCATAGCATGCTTGTTTCTGTACAAAGCTGGTTCATTTGATTTTCAGGGGACAGTGTGTGCTCCCCATCTTGGACCTCCAGAATTGGAAACTAAGTAATCCTGTCTTCTTCCTAAACTACTACTCTTTGGGTATTTTGTTATAGCAACAAAATGGACTCATACAGCATTACATAAAAGAAATTACCTAAATTGTGCTACCTAAATCTACATAGAACAAATTAGTAGTCAAGTAGGAACTGGAATTGAGATATACTAATCTCAGAGTATGCCGAAATCCTTGAAAGAAGGTTTCTGGGTGAATGGCAAGAGGGTCCTTGTCATTCAAGCACTCATAATCTTCATTTGCAATGTAATGAGATTTAAAAGGAAACAAAATATAACACAAACTTGAGATTTAACATTATTTACCAAAAACAGTAATACTTATAAAACTGGTCCTCAAGCAAATGTTCCTTTTCTGACTTCTGCTTCAGCCTATCCTCATCAACTGTCCTTGTCAGTCATTTTTAGTTAAATCTTTCT